TGGTGGCTTGAAAAATAGCTTGGTGTGTGTGCATGCATGCCCAGAATCTGGAGAGAAGAATAAAGGAAAAGAAATTGTGGTGTGGCCATCCCCCCTGGGGAACAATTTCTCACGTTTCCTCCATCTCTCTCTGTGTCTCTCTGGTGAGCACATATGCCTATAATACCAACAAAATTAATAATAATAATCAATTACTGATTGTAAGGTGACAATCGCAAATATTTAGAATCCATAGTTTGGGGTGAGGTCTAGGTGACTGTGATTTTAAAGCTATACCAATTATTCTCCGGTAAGGCCAGGATTTAGAGAACCTTTAAGAGTTCTTAGAGACTTCTGTTTTTGTTTAAGTTAAGTATCCAAGAGGCTTTCTTCCTTCTGTCCCTGACACTCCACAGGAGAGGAGCAAAATTACAATCTTCCATTTTTTGCTTTCGGGCTTCCTGAGAGAATTTCCAGACTGAATAGTTGTTTCAGTGGTCACTGTACCTTCTCTATAAGACATATTTGTGACAGTATACTTAGAGCTGAAGGGTGCAAATTCAAGTCAGAGGTTAGGTAAAGTGAGTCGAAGAATAATGTGAGCGTCTTGCAGTAGATCTGTGAGATTTTAGTGTTCATTTTTGTGGGGCATATAGAGATCATCAACCATTAATTGTAAATCAATAATGAAGTTAATTTTAAAGCTCCTATTTACTACTACAGATCTTAGAGCTTCTTCCTGGTCAGGGACTTTGAGGGAAGGCAGTGCAAATACAGATACAGTAGCAAAATGTAATTTTGCAGTAGAGGTACAGAAATCTAGACATTTTAATATCTTTTTTTTTTTGGAGAGGTTTTTCGCTATAGGGTGCGTGCGCTCGCCAGACAGAGAGACATAGAGACAGAAAGCGAGAAATCACCCCCCAGGGGGGATGGTCACACTGCAGTCCCTTCTCCTCTGTTCTCCTCTTGGGATCTTGGGCACACACGCACACGTGCCCGGCATGAATTTTAACCCACCAGGTCCGAGACGTGAACCGCGGTCAACTACGTGGGAGTCCAGCGACATAGCCATTACGCTAACTGCTGGTTCCCACATTTTAATATCTTAAAAGAATTTTTGATTCGAGGAAAAATGGAGCTGACGACTATTTTCTGAGAGGCTTCAAAGAACAATAGGAATGGTTGGGCAAACTATTTTCTATTTTTTTTAATTGCCAGAGAGCTTATGCACTCACCTTATGAGAGAGGGAAAGACAGACAGACGGACAGACAGAAAACACTCTCCAGCGGGGTATGGTCATGCTGTAATCCCTTCTCTTATTCTCCATCTAGTTGGGATTTAGAACATACATGCACTTGCACCTGGCCTATTTTTCAAGCCACTAGTAGTGAGTGGATTTGAACTGAGGTCAGCCTTCGAGATCTGACTCCTTTAACCACTGGGCTACAACGCCAGCCTACCTAGTTTATTTATATTGGTGTTTTTTTTTTAATTGCATCATTTGAGATGTTAACCATTTGTTTATTTAACTTTTTACCATCGTACTAAAAACCCGAAGAAATTTTTAAAAAGTTTTTGTCATAAGGAACGTGCACTCACCTGAGAGAGACAGACAGAGAGTGAGAGGGAAAGTGAAAAATCACCCCCCGGGGGCGATGGCCATTCCTACAATCCCTTCTCTTCCATTCTTCTTCTGGGATGTTGGGCAGGCACGCATGCACATGTGTCTGGTGTGATTTTCAAGCTGCCGGGTCCAGGACTCAAGCCGCGGTTGGCCGTGTGGGAGTCCAACGCCTTAACCACTATACCTTAACCACTGCTGGCTCCAGGAGATCTATCTTAATAAAGAAAGACCTAAGATACTTTGATTTAAGATAGGGGAGGGGGATTTGAATTGGGTAGTTTTTATTTACCAGTGATTCAGAAATTGATAAGTAGGGCAGCTCACTCTAACCTCAGATAGTTAGAGAAGTGTCATTATTCTAGTGAAAACTTGCTTTCATGTTTCCTTCCACTCTGAAAGTTGATGTTTTATATGAGACATTTTAGAACCAAAATAAGAATAAGAAATACAAAAATGTGTACATGATGGGTCTTCATCTTTTTCTGTCTCCAGCTTGCACCTCAGTTGAAAATCATAAACTATATTGGTGAGTTCGGATTCACTTCAGAGCTTCTTTATAATTTTAAATGTGACTTGGTTTTTAAATCTTTGATTTACATATTTGCAGGGACCCATTTATTATAGAAAGCAAGGAACAGCTGTATCCTCCCCAGGGTTGATTGTTTCAGTCAAATCTTTTTAGAGCACTAATTAGGAGGATGAGGATTTAATTTTTGTTTCTTTACAACAGAAGATTCTTGTTATACAGTTAATGAATACATACACTTCTCAGGGTGTGTTATGAGAAGATGCATACTGTGAATTTTTAAATTAATGGTATATTTTCAAATTTTAGAATTATTTTTTAGCTGTATCAGAAAAGCAAGTCCACTGAATTTAGGAAGTCATAGGTAGGTGAACTCTTCACCAAGCTATGTTGGGTATTTTTGCCACAAAGTAGTAGAGACAAGAACCAGCACCACAAGTAGGAAGAGGTAACTGGGTTGGCCATGGTGTAATAGTCATCATGAAGAAATGCAATGGCAATGTCTTAGTAAGAGAGGACACCAAGGAAGTCAATAAGTATGGTACTCGAGTTTAAGGAGGGTATTATAAAAAACGTGGGCATTAAAGAGGCATTTGCAACCAACAAGTCTGAGCTCTTTTTCAGCACTCAAGTGGGAAGCTCAAGATTTGCTTCTTTCATCTGAGTGCACTGGATGTGGGGCAAGGGGATAAGGGGTTAGATACACTAGTAGCTGACAACATCAGAGACCACTGCTTAGAAAATACATCTCTTAGAAATGGCAAACATTCCAATGAGGGAGAAGCTTATAAAAGAAGCAGGTTGGGGACCAGCAGTTGGCATAATGGCTATTTTGCTGGACTCCCATGTAGTTGACCGTGGTTCGAGTCTCGGACCCGGTGGCTTAAACTCACGTCGGGCGCGGGTGTGTGTGTGCCCAAGATCCCGAGAGGAGAATGGAGGAGAAGGGATTGCGGCATGGCCATCCCCGCTGGGGGGTGATTTCTCGTTTTCTGTCTCTATCTCTCTTTCTGGTGAGCACATGGGCCCTATAGCAAAAACATCTCCAGAAAAAAGAAAAAAAGGTTGTATACAAACTATTATATTTTAGGCTGGTTGAAAATTGAGAACTTGCTTAAATTCTTTAAAAGCAATCATAAATTTTTAAGTTACTCAAAAGGAAGAAGTTTAGTGGAATAGTAGTGGATCTATTCGGTAATCATGGTGCAAAGAACTTGCTAAGAGAAAAATAATAAAATGTAATCCTCTCTGTCTAATAGTAGAAGATATAAGGGATGGGCTAATTCTATACCTGTCTTCTGCAATTAATGATCAAGTGAAACCAGGCAAAATTGTAGTTAGTGAACAGATATTTTAGGTCCCACTGACAAATTAGATATACATAGCTCACCAGTACTATCAATACATAGCATCCTCCTATATTTTGAAGGAAACTGAAGTTAATTTTTAAACTGGTAAAACACTTAATCGTAATTAATAATGTGCTTTTTGAAAGACAGTTCAAGGGGTCAGCAGGTGATGTGGTTAAGGTGCTGTATTCTCACATTGTCGACCACAGTTTGAGTCCCGTACCTGGTGGCTTGCTTCCTCACTCTCCATCTCTCTCTCACACATTTGCCCTATAGCAAACCTTAAAAATAGTAATAATAATAAATACAATGAAATAATTAATATATTTTTAAAAAGGGATGAAAATCTTGAGTTTCTGTTTGATTGGCAGTATATCTTCAACGTTATATGTAAGGATAAAGACTGTTCTGTGGGGGGACCAGCAGTTAGCGTAATGGCTATGTCACTGAACTCCCATGTAGCCAACCACGGTTTGAGTCCTGGACCAGGTGGCTTAAACTCAAGCCGGGCACATGTGTAAGCATGCCCAAGATCCCAAGAGGAGAATGGAGGAGAAGGGATTGCCACGTGGCCATCCCCCCTGGGGGGTGATTTCTCACTTTCTGTCTCTCTGTCTCTCTCTGTCTTTCTGGCGAGTGCACGTGCCCTATAGCAAAAACCTCTCAAAAAAAAAAAAAACACACACTTCTGTGGGAATAAAATTTTAATTTTTAAGTGTATGTTGTAAGAGAAAGGGTATTTCTGAATCAGGAAAAGACAGTGAGTTTATAATTCCAGGCCACACTTGTACATTTGTTAACCAAAAAACCTATGCTTTCTTCCAGACTTTATTGTAGAAAAGTGTTAACTTATTCTTGATCCTACTGTAATGTGAGTTGTGAAAGCTCAAGATATTACCAGTTCCTCACAAGTACTAGCATTCGTAATAAAGGCAGAGAATCTTATGTCAACCACCAATGAAGCAATGAGAGTATTACATACATATAGGATCCCAAGTAAAGAAAAAAGATCCCAAGTAAAGAAAAAAAAAAAAAAAGACTTGTAAATCCTCAAGTCTTTTGTGTTCTACGTTTGGGAGTGTAGGTGGGGTGATTGGGATCTCCAAGATGGAAAGAGAGAAAGAGAGTTAAAAGGTAATATTGGCAGAAAATTAGAATATTTTTCTTAAATGATTCATTAAGCTAAGGCTTAGGTTAGGGGTTCTCTAAACCATGGCTATCCCCGGATTAATGTGCAAATTATATATAATTAGCTGTTTTATTTCAAAACATGCCTGGTCCTTTGGCAGGCGTCAGAGACAACATTTGCTGTATGGGATTCTTTGTGGTAGCTAGTAGGATCCGCAAAGTCCAGCTAGTGTGGGTGATCCAGGTGGGATTACATGCGGGGAGTCAAAAGGAGTTTGTATACTTTTAAAATTATGTGCTATTGTCTTATGTGACTTATTTTCTTTTCTTTCAAAAATTTCAATTCAAAACATTTGTGTTCTTCCTTTCTCTCTCCCTCTGCCCCCTCAGAATAATATAGCAGATCCAGAAGAACTGTTCACAAAATTAGAACGGATTGGGAAAGGCTCCTTTGGAGAAGTTTTCAAAGGAATTGATAACCGTACCCAGCAAGTGGTTGCTATTAAAATCATAGACCTTGAAGAAGCCGAAGACGAAATAGAAGACATTCAGCAAGAAATAACTGTTCTGAGTCAGTGTGACAGCTCATATGTAACAAAATACTATGGATCATATTTAAAGGTAATGTGTGTGCTATATTATTTAAGTCATAAGGTATTTTCATTATGTTTTCCGTTTTTAATTCTGTTTTTTGAAAGACAATGTCTTAAATTAAGATTTGGCAGCCCTGAACCTCCAGGCAGAATCCAGCTCCATGTATAGTGCCAAATAAACCGCTGTTAGATTTAACAGCTGTATCCTGAATGCATCCCAGTACTCAGCTGTACCCTTTTCCCACACTTGAGCTTTTGGTTCTATGGAGGAGCAGAAATGCAGCTGATCCTTAAGACATATCCATAGTCAGAAAAGAGTTATCCCTCTGAGTTCCTACACACTCTTCTCCACGGTTGCGTCTGTCTCTGTCTCAGAATGGATACAATATGTAAGTATGCCACTTCTTCCATAGAATTATGGTGGCTGTTTGCACGTTGCTCTCTTCCACCAGGTTGTGAGTTCCTTGATGGCAGGGAGTTGAGCGTAACCAATCTTGGTATTTACAACATTTAGCACAGAGTTGGGCACGTATTAAGCACATGATAAATATGAAGACTCCTCAAAAAATTCAGGGAGGGACCAGCAGTTAGCATAATGACTATGTTGCTGGACTCCCATGTAGCCGACGCAGTTTGAGTCCCAGACCCAGTGGCTTAAACTCATGCCAGGCGCGTGTGTGTGCGTGCCCAAGATCCCGAGAGGAGAATGGAGGAGAATGGAGGAGAAGGGATTGCAGC